GTAAGAAGTTAACTCATAGAAATTTGAATGTAATCAGAGAAATAATTTGAAAAGGCTAACAATATCTGTGTATCATTTCTTGTGACAGTCATGGTTCTGAGAGCTTACATGAGAATAGGTGAGTCAGTTATTCCTAACAAGTGTGTTAGGCATTGTTATTTATATCCTCATTACAGATGAGGAAACTGAAGAGCAGAGAGGAAGGTAACTTTCCCAAGGTCACATGGCTAGTAAGCATATAGAAAGACACTAAGTCTCTCTCGGGCAGCCTGGTATAAAGTCAACTCTCCTTAATACAATCAATGCTCTCTTTTATGGGCATTGGCCAATGCTCCTTTGTAAAGTGGGAAATGCACAGTAACTTCCAGCATGGGACCAAGCACACTCCCAGGTGTGGAAACGGTCCTTTACGAAGTTCAAAATCTATGTACCCTGAATGGTTAAAATTTTCATGAAGCAGTCTTTGCCTATTTGGTAAGTACATAAAGATTTAAATGCCTTTGAATAGAAAATATATGGCAAGCTCTTAGGAGACTTTTAGAAGGGTAGTAGTAAGGAGTTAATGAATAACTGGGGTGTAAGACAGTAATGACATTTTCAAGGCACTTAAGGTGTAACAGCAGCTAAAAATATTACATTCGTATAAGAACTTCTCCAGGTTTTCAGGTTTCTGAGGTTAGAAAGAACTTGAAAACCCTCTGTATGAGTGAGATTACTTAATCCTGTTTGCTTCTGGGGGAAAAAAAAAATGAAGACAAGAAACAAAAACCCTGCAAATACAGCCTTGTTCTAAAGACATGGTCCTAAAGACATGGTTAAAACTGAAATTGTAAGATAATAACAGAAGTTTAAAATATCGCCATAGACCCAAAGGGAATAATTTTACCTACATGCTATGACTAAGTCTGTGATACTGGAAGGTATTTTATTTATGAGTAATATTAAATGTTTATTAGTGTAGTAGCATCCATATCAGTGGTTCTCAAAACACTGAAAAAATATTGACGTATGGTAGCTGGAACATGGAAGTCAAAATTAGCTATTATTATTACTATTCAAGATACATTGACATCACCTGGAATGGTTATTAAAAATACAGATGTTAGGGACCCCTGTCCCCTAAGATTCTGACTCAGATGCTTTAAGAGACACTGATCTATATAAATAACTGCATGTTTTATACGATGATCAGGGAGACTAGTCACAATACAGAGGTGCAGCATAAACGTAGTCAATTGCAGTTAAAACGAATCATGTTCACTTAATGTATTTCTTTCAACTCACTATCAATTGTCTTAAAAACCTTTTTCCTTTTCTCTGCTTCTTAATTAGCACCTTTTTTTTCATCAGAAGCTCTATTTTTTGGTCATATGAGTACTTTTTTTTTTTTTAATACACTAACATTGTAATCTTCTCCGAATCAGATACAAGACTAATTTTATTTCTTGTTTTGGAAATGCTGGGCAACATAATTTGCTGAAGATGTGCCAGCTTGGATGATGAGAGTTTATCTTCTTAGAATGATCAATGAGGATAATCATTTACATCTAGGTTGGGCATGACTGGGTCTGGCATGTGGTCTCACAGGCAATGCTCTGCGCAATCCCCTCCATGGAGAGGGAGGGAGTGGGGGCTGAAAGTTAGCTGGCCTGCCAAGTCACGCACCCTGCAGCAGTACTGCCTTCCCTAGAAGAAGGGCTAGTGTTTTTCTGATTAGTCACCCTAGAGCTCTGGGCTACCTTTTAGGCATTTAGAGGCCCAGGGGTAGTGGCGTGGATGGGGATTTTTTTGGATTCTCACAAGGGTAGTGGAGTAAGAAAATAAGGCATTTCTACTCCTCTCACAAACATCCCCTTTCTCCTCTTGTCCTCACATCCCATTCAAATGTTTTAGGTGACTGGGGAACATTTCTGGTGGTACAGAGTTGAAAGCATGGGACAACATTAACTGAACTCTTTGGTTGCCACTGGAAGGATGCCACTGGAAGGACCCTGCACTAGAGCTCAGCAGCTTTAAGAGCTCAGCAGTCTCCAAGGCCTGGGGCCACAGGACCATTTCCTTAGGAGGATTTCTACTTATAAACTTCATTTTATAACTAACTCTCTGGGCCTTTTTCTTCATCTCCAAAATGAAGAAAGACGTATCTCCCTGGGCTTTCCCAAATTGAAAATTTCATCTTGTGAATTAATTTTTATTACGGTTTTTGTTAAATTCTTAATTTTTTTTGTTTGTTTTTGTTTGTGTGTGTGTGTGTGTGTTTTGTGGTTTTTTTTTGAGACGGAGTCCTGCTCTGTCGCCCAGGCTGGAGCACAATGGCCTGATCTCAGCTCACTGCAAGCTCCGCCTCCCGTGTTTACACCATTCTCCTGCCTCAGCCTCCCGAGTAGCTGGGACTACAGTTGCCCGTCACCTCGCCTGGCTAGTTTTTTGTATATTTTTTAGTAGAGACGGGGTTTCACCGTGTTAGCCAGGATGGTCTCGATCTCCTGACCTTGTGATCTGCCCATCTAGGCCTCCCAAAGTGCTGGGATTACAGGCTTGAGCCACTGCGCCCGGCCTAAATTTTTAATTTTTAAAACATTATGGTAAAATATAGGTAACATAAAATTTACCACTGTAACCATTTTTAAATGTACAGTTTAGTGGCATTAGTTACATTCACACTGTTTTGTAGATATCACCATCATCCCTCTGAAGAACTCTTTTCATCCTGCAAAGCTAAAACTATGTACCCCTCAAAAAATAATGTGGGATTTCTTATAACAGCACTTGTTTGCCAAGCTGCCCTTCCACTGTTCTCATTTTGTTGGTAGGGAAGTCAGGGTACAGAGAATTTTGATACTACAGCTATGTGCCATCAGAAAATTACTGCTGATGAATAAATTAAAATTCTTAGCTTCTGAATTTGCCAGTCAATGATTTTATATTGAGCTTCGTTGCTCTCAATTCAATTCACCCAACTTATTGAGTGTCTACTGTGTGTTTAAGATAGACTAGCAGTATTGATCAGTCAGGACTAAAAAAAATGTGGATAATAGTAAAAGACATTTAAAAGGAAATAGGCTGCAACTTAATGTGTTAGAAGGCATAATAGCACATCATATAAATGCTGAGGAGAACAATATGGTCATTGTTACTATTAACTTATTTTACTGTTATGCATTGCATTCTATTTTATTTCCATTTCCTGCTGCTGTGCTTTAATCTTGAAAAGAGCTGATCATGTGTTTGAGGCCTTTCAAACTTTACAGTGTTTTGTTCAGAGAGAGAGAACATGCACGCTACAGCAATCTCAAACTAGGTCCTGTTTGTCCCAATTTCGTGCAGTTTTCTGCGCAGAGTAGTGCCAGACTTCACTGAGCTGATCTCTGTTTTCACAAAATAGCATGTAATTCAAAGCCACTGCTATTCCCTGGCTGACTGGATGCCTTTTTTGTTTGCTGTCTAACAAAAAAGTGGCGAATACTCTAAATTTGTTTCATCCGCATTCTCTGTTAAACTTCACAGAATGGTACTACACACTGGGTGTTCTAAGGTCACCTGTGTAGAATACACATTCCATGAAATCTCATAGTGTTGCTATTGCCAACACTGAAGGCTGGCCCCTGTCGTGCTAATGGGGATGTAAAACTAGTGACCATTTTGTATATTCAAGATTATGGAACTCTGTGAAAAACGATAGAGCATAGTGACAGCTCTTCCGTAGGCTGATGTAACTAACTCAGGCTAAATTCTGTACCTCTGAAATGATTGTTATGCAATTCATGGCAATATTTCAGGATTCTAATATATTTTGAAATTATGTTCTCTCTCCTGCTATTCTGCATAAAATCCTCAGAGTGTATTTTTCCCCAATGAGTTTATTGAATAATCATGCTAATTCAAATATTATTTTTTGGCATTTAAAACTGACTTATATAGTCACTTAATTTTTCAGAATTAGGAGACATGGGGCTATCCCCCTACCATAATATGAAGTTGCCTAAATTTTCTTTTATGGGAAGAAACAGAATTTAGAAAATGTGGGCCTAAAGAGGTAAAATAAATGCTTTTTCAGTACCAGAAGTTAAATTAGAATTATCCATGAATGTGTTTTCCAAATAACAGAACTATATTTCTTTGCAACAAATTAGCTTGATAAAAAGTAGGAGGCATAAAATGTTTCCCAAGAAAGACTTGAAAGTCTGGCAATTGTGTCTAACCACCCCCCTTTCTCAAAATGTAGTACTGCAGAGGACAAAAATGATTGGTAATTAATGACTCAAGCCCTTTATGCAATACTAATCCCTTACTATTTGCTAGGTTTCGGTGGTTGCATGAAGGATGTTAAATTTACACGGGGTGCTGTCGTTAACTTGGCATCTGTGTCCAGCGGTGCTGTCAGAGTCAATCTGGATGGATGCCTATCAACTGACAGTGCTGTTAACTGCAGGGGAAATGACTCCATTCTGGTTTACCAGGGAAAAGAGCAGAGTGTTTACGAGAGTGGTCTCCAGCCTTTTACAGGTAATGTGGAGGTCCTCTAAATTAAATGTTGCATGTCTCTTATTCATCTCCCTTTCCCTCCCTGCCAGTCCCTTATTAGTCTATATGAGTATTATTTTAATCTTGCTGCATCTTATTTCCATTTAAGAATACCTGTATCGGGTGAGAGCCTCGCATGAAGGAGGTTCAGTATATAGTGACTGGAGTCGAGGACGTACAACAGGAGCAGGTAAATACTTACCTTCAAATGCATATGTGCACACACACATGCATGTATTTGTGCATGTATATAAAAGGAAGGACTATTACCCTGAAGTAGTAATATTTTTGTAGTCTTCTGACAGAACATGCCTTGATTTGAAAATACATCTGTCAATGGCTAAAATGCTTAGCAGATCAGTGCTTTTGATTTGTCAAGAATTCACTAAATATTTACTCAGAATTGATCCTTTCCTCTTAGGATGCAGAAGAAAGGAAAGTTCAGGTTGTCTTAAGGATGTAATAGTCCCACCTACCAAATATGCTTAAGGATAGGTAACCTTTACAGATGGCGTATATAGCAAGAAGTTGAAGTCAGGGATTAGGATTATCCTTGGAAGGGAGTGGCACCCTCTTGACTTTCTCATAGAAGGCGCATTGGAAACCTGCAACTGGTTGGAATCAGGTGTGTCTATGACATCATTGCAGATGTTTGCCCTGTTGTTGACTATTCGAATCTTAGAATGACTCTCCCCAGAGAGAAAAAATTGCTGATTGGTTTAATTTATTTTGAGCTGGAAAAGAACCAACTAGGAGACAGTATACATTAGACCTAATTTCAGACAATTGACTTGTTTTGTACTTCTGACTGGCCACAAAATCTTTCCCCATAATATCCCCACAGGAAGGCATTCAGCACAGAGTTTTGTGAATCAGTGGCATTCTACCATTTTGGGTCAAATATTTGTCAGGAAACTGAACATATCTCCAAATGATTGCCACTTAATGTCTCTGTAAGAAAGTTTATTTAGCGAGTAACAATTTGTCTAAAGATGCGTTTCCATCAAGATATTCTCTTATACTTAATCTACAGTGTGTTACTATGCCAGGTATCCTTTGAGGAATCTTCTTAATCTAAAATATAATTAAATACTGAGATGAGCAACTAAGAATAATTTTGAAGACTCTCTACCTACATATTTTCCAGAAGAGGACAACTTGACACTTTTCCAGGATGATTTAAATTATCACCTATTTATAGGCAAGACAATGAGCTGAACGATCTCTTAAAATCCTTTTCAACTTCAGGGCTAAGAGAAAGCTCCAATATAAAATACTCACTTGTAACTGACATGTTCTCTCCTCCTGTTTCACACCCTTCTACTTTATTAACAAATATAAAGCCTGCTTTGAGTATAATTCAGCAACGTTAATAAGTGTCTGGAAAGCACATTGCTTACTTAGCTTAATAGTCCCCACTTTGAGTACTACTGAGAAAGTACACAAATACAGCTCTGAATTTATAGCAATGATCTGACCACAGTCCTATGCCATAAATTCATATTTACAATCTGACCACAACACTGAGCAGCTACATGCTCCCAAGGGTTGGAGAATAATTGCACTATTTAATTATTTTTGAGTCAGTTTTGCTCTGTCCCTTATGAGAAGACCATCTGTTAGACAGTACTGTACTTTGCCCTGTACCACATTTCAGAACTAATAAAATCAACATCACTCCCATTGTCCCTTTCCTTGCAACTCGATCGTGTGGCCTGTGTGTTTTCTATAGGTGCCCGTGGTGTTTAAACAGCTCAGAGAGTGGTTCTCTCCTTTGGTGTTTCCTCTTATCCTTTATGTGCACTCTGTTTCCCTTAAAGCTGTCCTATTTTATTGGTCTGGACAGTAAAGTCGGAGAGGAGGAGATTTGATGTGGAAAACCAGAGTGATCCTCCATCGACAGGGCTCAGGAGTCCATGAGCAGCTAGAGCAGGTCTCTCATCCATCATCCTGCCACAGAGTTCCTTGGGCTCTTTCTTTGTGTCCCCAGTGCACTCAGCTGTGATGAAGTTTTTACTGATCAGAACTGTAGAAATGTCTAATAAATAGTTAAAGGTTATAGATTTTTTAAATTAGGGGGCTCAGCTTGTAAGTAAGGTTTTGTAGTTCTTTTAAACTTCCTCATTTTGTGATATTATTTTCAGATATTCTGCAGAACAAATCTTTGAAAATGACTTTGTAGAATCTCAAGGGCACCAGCTCCTTTGCCCCGCTCCCCACCCCCAAAAACTGCAATTAAGAATATATTCCATATATCATACCTGGTAGAACTTTGCTTTTTAAAAATTAATTAGAAAAACAATTGCATTTGGAAAATGGGTCCAGGCATTCAAGTACAACACAATCACATTTGTGATCTTTTTTGGCTAATACATCGAAGATATAAAAGTGTCAAACCACTATGTATAATAACAGTCTAATTATCTTGCTTCAAAGGGGGTACATCATTATATTGCTTGAACTTGTTATCTGCCTACCATCCACCTCCTTCTTTATGAGTGATGTTTAAACATGTCTGATACATTAAATGTTTTTGGAAAACCTGGACTAGACTTGAAAGAATGTTATGTCGATGGAGTTTTGATGGTTCTGAAATATCACTTAAACTGAATGGCTCAAGATGTGCAGTCATATTAAATCAATGCTGAAAAGTTACAACTCTAATAAATTGTATTTATGCTAATGGTTGAGTCTGATTTACTGCGGCCATTAAAAGTGAAGAATAGGAGCAATAGTCTTCTCAGAACTGCCTTTTCCCCTATTTTCTCTTTTATTCCTTCACAGCTCCACAAAGTGTGCCAACTCCCTCAAGAGTCCGCAGCTTAAATGGATACAGCATTGAGGTGACCTGGGATGAACCTGTTGTCAGAGGAGTAATTGAGAAGTACATTCTGAAAGCCTACAGTGAGGACAACACCCGTCCACCCTACATGCCCTCTGCCAGTGCTGAATTTGTCAATACAAGCACCCTCACAGGTAAAGGCGATTCTTTAACAGAGTAGATCTTATTAACTTCCTTTTTGTTTGAATTGTAAATAAAAATCTTCTGCAATTTTTAAAAATTTATTAAATATAAGTGTATTTTACCTGATTAAGAACAACCACCATCTAAAGTAGTGGAAGCCTACATCTACCTAGGATAAAAAGGATAATTCTACAATGTGCATGGGCTGTCATGAATAATTTTATTCTAAGGTAGAGATTCTCTCCATCCCCCAAAGATTACATCATAGGTGGCTGTAGCCCTTTAACACCTTATAGACATCTTTTGGAAATCCTAGGTATAAATACTTATTTCACAAAGCAAAAATTTACTCTTTGGGACTAGCCCCAGTTCACACCACTATTATTTATTGTAAAATTGCTGATTAAACCTAATTATCTCAAGGTGGAGGAGTCTTAGAGCCCTAGTTATTTGGACTGGCAAATCAGTGAATCGATTTCTCACAGTGCGGTGTGCCATGAAGAATGATTATAATGAAATATACTCATACACACCACTAACACATCTCACACTCAAATTCATGCATGTGTATTAAGCGCATTTTTCAACTTCATGAAATATTAAAGCACATTTAAAGGGAGAGTTGAATTTAAGCCTTTGATAAAAAGAAAGTAAATGTGTCAACTTTGACAGAAAAAACATTTTCCTCTATCAAAAAATCTTGTAACATGAACCATCAGAATGGATGTTAGAAAAGCCTTAAATATTTCCCCAACATACCTGCTGGTCAGTTCCCCCAAGACTTGGCTTCCTTTTTTTAGACTCTTTGGAATGTACAGCCCAAATATACCACCAACTTTTAGCAAAAGAAAAACAAACAAATTCACATCCTTCACTTCTTTCCTATTTTACCCTCCTTGTAAAAACCCAACCTGATTAAGCCCACAGCTTGCCTTTTCACAGGTTGCACATGGCAGCTACATGGGCTGGAAAATATCAAGTAGTTTATTGCCAAAAATGCTAAACCCCACTTTCAAATGAGCACTCAGTAATGACACCAATCCTACTATATTTCCAGAATAGTCTCCTTCTCCCATTCTCCTCATTAAATATTTTATATTTTCCCAAACTATACACATGCTATCTCCCTTTCTCATCCCACTCAGCTGACAATATTCTATTTTAGATCAAATTAGACACCACAGATAAAGCAATCTATTGTATAGGATTTCTGTTACTTTCTTACTACCAAATGTATGTATTAATTGCATTTTTCTGCCTGATGGAGTTGTTATTAGGGGTTGGATGAATGAATGCATGCTAAAACACTTAAAAACATTTTGACATATAGGAGGTGTGTGCTATGCTATCATTTTCTTTTCATTATTATTTTTTATTTTCACACTTTTTTCTTTTCTGTTTTACAAAGCTTCTCTTATCCTATCAAAAATAGAAATCTTCACAAGTCCTCTGGACCCTGACTCTTCCTGTTTTTTCAGAGATGTTACTGATAGCTTACCTTCTTCTCACTTACATGTTTAATGCCTCTCTCTGCTGCAGTAGAATATGGCCCAAGGACCAGCATTACTAGCTTCATGTGGGAACTTACTATTAATGCACATTCTCCTGCCCACCTGAAACCCACCAAATCAGACACTCAGCAAGTGGCTTAGCAGTCCTTGTTTTAACAAGCCCCCAGGTACACCTGATGCATGCCAGAGTTTGTGAACCACTGACTGACTGGATTCTTCTCAGGGTCATTCAAACTCTTTTATCTCCCATTGTTAAAAACCAACACACTAACCCAAACCAATCACAAAAATCTTCATTCTGTCCAAACTCCCAGCTGTTGCTCCCTCTCTCCTCCTCTCGGCCTTCGTCTGGCATGAAGTATCGAAATTCATTTTGTCTTCACTTTTTCTGGCCTCTGCTCATTACTTTTGTGATGAACACCAAGAACTGCCATGTTTACACAGGCAAAAAACACTAGGCACTCTATGTCTTCACCATTCTTCAGTATTCTCTACAGTAACTCTCTCATCATTTCTTGAAATATTTCTTCACTTCTATGACTCTTCTGCTTACCTCTGCGTTCTCCAGGAACCCTGTTCTCAGTATCCTTTGCTCACTTCTTCCAAAGTGTGATGACATATTGAAGAGTCTCAGGATTTAGAACTGGGCTGTCTCCTCTTTCTCTTTCATTTTTTTTCTGGCTTGCTCCAAAAACCTTATTGATTCTCATAACATCAAATACCAGACAGATGCTGCTGTTGACTCCTAATTGCACATCCCACCTAGACATCCAAATGCCTGCATCCTAATAGGCATGTGGACACAGTGACATTTCCAACTGGATGTCTCTCACCTTCTACACTTTCCAAACCTCAACTCTTGCTTCTCCTACATTCTCATAGATACCTCCAGCCACCCAGTCAAGAAAGTCTGAGAGTTACTCTGTACTTTCCACCTCCTTCACACCTCATATCCACAGTTGTCATTCTATTTCTTAAAATATGTGTGAAGTTCGTCCATTTCTCCTCTAATCTACTGGTCAGCCCAAACCACTACCATCTTTTGCCTGGACAACTGCAATACTTATCTTCATCTTTCTCATAACCTTTTTTTTTTTTTCTCTCCCTGGCCATGAGTCTATTCTACAGAGCATCCA